TTGTGTACCGACCGACTTCGTTACAAAAAATATGAATGAATCATATGCTTAAGGCTAAAGGTAAATAACATGAACTCTTCGTTATTCAATAATATTTTAAAAAATGTTACCTATAAAAAAGCATAATTCGAAAGTAAAACAGACATTCTACTTGATTTATCCTCAGGTTTCACAGTTAGACAAAGAAACAGAAGCCAACTATTGGCTCATTGAATAAATTTAAAGCACTGAAATGATAGAACATCCGTTGCTAATACCCCATACGAAATACCCTTGACATTCTGGCGTGTAAATCGCAGTCTCATTCTGTAGTCCTGAAGTGTAATTTACATTCGGGTGTATGGAATTTCTCCCCTGTCTAATACAATCAATTTGTTTTATTATTATTGTTATAGTACAGTCACTTTCTGTTTCCATTAAAATGGAAGGATGCAATCTTTTATAGAGTTCTGGGTTGATTCGGCCGCCTCTCGCTATTATTAGTAATAGTACTGGTATGGCTGAATTCACCTGCTAGGTGTATATTTTATCTTTATTGTATATTAAGAATCTGATTACACTACTATGAAACTCAAACTTATACACTCACGATATGGTCTTATTTTTGTGTCCTTTAAACTATATATGCTTTTATTAGAATTCCATCTCAAGCAGAATGACTGTTTCTTTTCGTCAATCCCAATCAAGAAAGGCATTTCGAGAACTCAAACAAACTGCTCATATTATTCCTAAACTTTAGCCATTCGTAGTTGATTCGTAGCATCTCGACGACCTCAGACAAGCAATCTGCACTTCCCTACTTGGCTCAAACCGATCGTCAAAGGCTTCCTGGTTTCATAGTTTCATTTGACTACACCCAAACGTCTCTCTATCCTAGTCCTATTTCAGCCGCTCATCGAGACATGCGTAAAACATATCCTGGCCAGCTTCACAACTGCATCAACTGACTTTCCCTTCTTACCCAACAATCAACACTTAGCCACATCACCGCAGAACATTTCAATATTTAATGCAAACACCTACACTACCTTATGCATAACTTTAAGCTTCTACGACTATATCTTATAAGGGATGGGGTGAACCGTTGTACAGCATACATGCACTTTGATAAATGGCTAGATACCACGCCTGCGTCAAATACGATAAAAGTTGGCAAATGCCAAACCAGCCTTTTGTATCAACTGTAAAAATTGATATGATTTATTTTTATTTTTGATTACAGCTTGATTCCACACTGTATTTTTTGTACAAGTATGGAATTTTCAGCATGGATATCGGTAGCCCAAATTTTGCAGGCCAACCATAGATATCAGGTGTGAGTCGGCAGGGGATCGAACCCCGGACCATGTGCATAGTCGGCGATAAATATTCAAACAAACAGGTATTCCAAGATCGGTAGGATATTTTCCTTCATACTTAGTTAGATATGGTTCTTTGTAAAAAAAACAACTTGATTTCTGAAAACAATCATGCTTTAAATAATTAACTATCCAGTGACACTATAGATATACATACCCAAGATCACTCATATGTGAACATACATTGAATAGGAAAAAAATATCCTTTTCATACAAGATTCATTAAACAAATTAATTTAAGCATGAAAACTATTAGTATACAATTGGTGGATGGTGGCTAGCAGTGGAATCCAGGATGCACATTTCGTCCTATTTGGGACTCGTCAGCTGGATGTACGTGCATCTCTCAGTGAGTGATGATGTTCCCACCGAGGCTCGAACCCAGTACCCATAGTTTCAAACGCCAAAGCGTTATCCACCAGACCACTTGGGCCACGAGAGCCACCTCTTGTGCAACGGGTCATATTGATTTAATTGAATTTTTGATTTTCCCGTCGATTGATTGTACCGAAGTGCTCGGTCTCAGCTTGACATGTCGGCTTCTTGTGCAGATGCCTCGACGATGTCTGGGCGTTTAATTAGTGTAAAATTGGTGGCTCAAGTGGTCTAGTGGATAACGCTTTGGCGTTTGAAACTATGGGCACTGGGTTCGAGCCTCAGTGTGAACATCATCACTCACTGAGAGATGCACGTACATCCAGCTGACGAGTCCCAAATAGGACGAAATGTGCATCCTGGATTCCACTGCTAGCCACCATCCACCAATTGTATACTAATAGTTTTCATGCTTAAATTAATTTGTTTAATGAATCTTGTATGAAAAGGTTATTTTTTTCCTATTCAATGTATGTTCACATATGAGTGATCTTGGGTATGTATATCTATAGTGTCACTGGATAGTTAATTATTTAAAGCATGATTTTTTTCAGAAATCAAGTTGTTTTTTTTACAAAGAACCATATCTAACTAAGTATGAAGGACGAAATGCGCATCCTGGATTCCACCGCTAGCCACCATCCACCAATTGTATACTAATTAAATGCCCAGACATCGTCGAGGCATCTGCACAAGAAGCCGACATGTCAACCTGAGACCGAGCACTTCGGTACAATCAATCGACGGGAAAATCAAAAATTCAATTCAATGAAAACTATTAGACGAAAACATTAAACTGACTAACTAATAATCTCTTCATTTGCTTACTATTCAGATATTACTGGGAGTTAGTTACATATTTGAAATGATGGAGAATTTTAGCTCAGGTGGATAATTTTGATTGTTTTTTTTTGTGTGCTCTCTGACCTGGGTGATTTAATTGCTAAACTTTCATTGTCATTCTAGACAACATCTTCAATGCAAGCACTACATACTTAAATCAGCATAACACTAGCAAAAGAAACTATGTAACAACCATTGTATAACAATGAACACATAGAAACAGCATTCAGCTCGGATGGAACTCATAGAATTATGCCCTACAATATTCTATATTTCCAATTCAATAATCAGATATATGATTAGTCCCAGGTTTTTATTTGACCTCCAATAACTCTTTCACGATGCCCGAATAGCTCAGTGGTAAAGTCTCTGACTGCAACACTGGGTGGCCTGGGTTCGAATCCCAGGAGGGATATAAGTTCCTTGAAGATTGAAGATGTATCCTGGTGAATGGTGAGTACTAACTAGCAAGAAATCTAAGTCAAAGGCTTCCTACCGACTGCCTCCAAGTAGCGTTGGGATTGCCTATATGAAGATTAATAGTTGAAGTCGTTATGCAAAGATTAGAATTAACGGTTCTATCCATAATCAAACCAAAAATCTAGGTACGCTATGTTGATGATACATTCGTAATAATTAGAAGAAATGATTTGGAATACACCCAAAAATTCATCAACAACACATCTGAAGACATTAAATTTGCAGGGGAAGAATCAGACAACAAAACTCCTTTCTTAGATATCTTAATCAGGAGAACAAATACTGGGACTTTTGAAACACAAGTATACAGAAAATCAATACACATATATCACATAGTCAGCTATAACAGCAACAATTCAATAACTTACAAAATAAACTGTGTGCATACGTTGTTTAGAAGAGTTCAAGAAAACTGAAGCATTTTAATGCTGAAGAGAATGGAAGGAAAATACCTTAAACTGTCTTCAAAAAGAATAAATACCCACACAATTTCATCAAAAAATTTTTAAACTTAAGTCATAACACAAACAAGAAACCATTATCAGAGACTACAAGAAAATTCATCCTACCATATATTAAGAACATTTCGAAAATAACTGCTAGAATACTAAGACCGTTTAAAATAGATATGGCACACAAGCCAGCACAATCACTCCATTGGATAGACTAAAAGATCCAACAGCAAAAGAAGACAAGATGAGTACCATTTAAAAAATATATTGCGATAAACACTACTGGTCAAAGTGAGCACCCTGTTCGAGTCAGAATCCACAAACTTAAATTAGCTGTGAAAAGACACAACATCCATTCTTTCATACCAATGCATGCAGACAATTATGGACTCTAATTTGATTGGGAAATGTATAAATTTTATACAAAGGAAGCATCAAAAATGTCAGGGAATTCCTGGAGGCCTGGCACTCAGATGAATTTATCAACTAATAAAAAATAAATCATATGACAAGAAAGTCCAAATTCTATGTTGATAAAAATGATCAATAAAGATGTAAATTAACAACCAATCACGATAATGGCTATCAGGAGATACACAATTATATAATCATTCATGGAGAATCCAAACATCATGCTTTAAGCTATTTCAGTATGATTATCTTACAGTTAATATATCGTACATATCAAGCGGGAAGTAAATAATACAAGTCGACTACATAATCAAAACAAGAATAAACAAAAATATGAATAAAAGTGCAACATTTCAAACTGCCGGATTTCATAACATTCTAGACAGGAATAAACAATGTATAGTTTAGCTTAACTCCGTCTCGCTTCTGGCTACCATAATTCACATTAGTAAGTAGACGTGAGGTGAAAGAACCGAAATAAAGGTAAAGATATATGTATACATACAACAAGGTAAATGCTAATTAAAGAAAGAGTATCATAGTGCAAATAAGACGTTTTTTAAATTCCGTTTAGATTTTTCTGTCGATCGATTGAACCAAAGTACTTGGTCTCAAATTGATATATCGGCCGCTTGTGTAGATGATTCGACGATGTCTGGCCATGTTACTTGAAGTCAGTTGGTGGATGGTGACTAGCAGTGGGATCCAGGATGAGCATTTCTTTCTATTTGAGACTCGTCATCTAGATCTGCCTGCTTTGAAACTATGAACACTGGATTCGAGCCCCGGTGCGAACACCATCACTCACTGAGGAATGCAGATGCATCCGGATAACGAGTTCAAAACAGAACGAAATACGCGTCATGGATTCTGCTGCCAGTTACCATCCACCAAATTACTTCAAATAAGACATGTCTAACTACTGAATTCTAAGACATTGAAGATCCGGAACTGAAAGCTAACATTTTTCCTGACGGAAAATCAACTTACTGCTTAACTTAGAAAATTTATCAAACGAATTTGATGGAAATTAGAAATTAAGTCGCTTAACGTAGTTCTTTCTGCGAAGGGTTATTCTTACCTTGATGAAAGAATTTGTTTTCTAGCTGATAACGTAGAAGGATCTTTAGACATTTGGTTCAAGCTCTTTTCAACTTCCAGTATCTTATGACTTCGACTTGGGAATGTTTTCGACTCTTTAAGTTGTTCCACACCTTGAGTAATTACTGGTTGCTGTAATTCTGTTTTCACATTTTTCAATGGATGACTATTCTCACTGGGTTTAGAACTTACCGACGTTGCTGTTGTTATTGGCACTGTTGCACGAAGATTTGGTGGCTGAAAGCTTTCTTTAGATGGTGCAGGTGGTGGCAGTGTAGCTCTAGAAGGTGACTTAATATCCATTGTTGTCTTGTAGTTAATAGTCGGTTGTTTGTATTGTTGACGTTCTTGGTTCTGTTGTTGTTGGAGTGGGCTCTGCTCTTCTCCAGTCTTGCTATGAGTTTGAGAATAAGGCAGTAATCTAGGTGAATTTGAATCCAGTACATGACTTAGACCAACAGTCAGTTCAGTAGCATCTTGAGTGGTAATATTCAATTGTGATCTAATATGTTGAATTGCTCTTCTCAGTTGCTCCTTTATAGAGATAAAATATTTTGGACAAAAAAAGAGCGAAGAATTTCGGTTAAAGGGAATGTGTAATAGCATGTCTACTACTATAGAAAAAAAAACAACTCAAGTATGCATTCGAGTTAACAGTGACTGCCTTACTGACTGAGTCCCAGGATAGAACTTTGCACTGAACTGCACCAGTTCAAGACACCACACTTTATTCAGTATACAAAGGCAGAGAAAAGAACGAAATCCTAAAGAACTATAATTGTAGTGAGAGCAGGCTGCTAGCCAAATTGGTAGACAATTATTTACGTCAATGTTTATGTCCCCAATATTGGTCATGAGAAAAATAAGAACAAAGACTGATTCAACAACCAACCACAGCAGACTTTGCGTAGGCGGATACAGATAACATATAGATGATCTGACATTGAAGAAACAGTCACAAAGAGATGAAAGATTAACTTTCAGTGAGAAACAACCACCAATCAGAAGACTGTGTTTTTCTGCTAACAATAATCTACAATAATGTACACGAAAATCTATAAATATGTGTTGATTTCCTTAATAAACGATCTGTTGGCTGGCCCTTGTCCTCTGTTGTTACATAATGAGTAGGAATATACATGAGAAAGAATAGTAACACAGAAAATCATGAGTATCTTATGGATATGGGAGACTGCAACGAGTGAATTTATGTGCAACACTGAAAACGATCCTGAGCCATATATCATTAATGGTCTCCAGCCGTTGATTCTTAGCATCCCAGGGATCCTAACCACCAGGCAGTCTCTGTCTCCCTACCTGGCTCAAACCAATAGTTTAAGATAAGAGTGTTTGTATATATGAGGGTAAAAAAAGGTGTGGAAAGTAAGTTGACTGCATTTTATTGCCTAAACTTGAACTACATACTGTGTATTAGGGAAAACTTTCAGTAAGAAGACTAAAGTATGAGAGACTTGTATTCAGAATTTATTCAGAACCATCTTACTTTAACAGTCTACTGATTTTCAGGAAACATTCCTGAAATAATCATCATTATCATTATTTAAAAGGCTGAAGAAAATAATCACAAGAACAAATTATGCATTAGCTGCTTAAATTAACATCAATAATACAGAAATTTTAAACCGAAATAAAATCATTTAACTGAAAAAATGTTAACACTAACGAGTTAGTTAATGCTTGACTGCGTAATATAGATGATTAATCAGAACAAAAGATGGCAAAATGACCATTTGAAAAAAAAATAATTAACAATTACGCTAAAGAAGGGGAAAAAAATCCTTTCATGTATCTTTTATAATGCATCAATTAACTCTGAGTGCTTCCTTGGCTAACAGTGATATCTAAAGATGAAAAGTACTTTGTTTGACATTGACTTCGACGAGGTTATTTATCTACTATTTGATAACAAACCATTTAATAAAAGTATGCAATCACCTGACTAACATATTTTCTCCCCTTAAGATATTTTCTTCAAATGAATAAAGATGCTTCAGACATTTATTTCCCTTAAAGAATTTGAACAAAGCAAGAACTACAGTTTTAGAAGAATAAAATGGTACCATCTTTTATTTTGTTGCCTTCTCGTCAGCTGCTTACAGGAAAAAGACACTATTAAATATATCTACAAAAACAATTTTAACATACTTGAACAGAGTTCAGTTTAAACAAAAATCAATCGATCAATATACGCATACACTAAAAATATATACATATATAAATATGCAATATTAAACACTATTCCGAACAATAATAATCATACACAATGGAAACTTTTAGCATTTTGCATTCGGAGGAAAGAGAGGTGAAAATATCCAGTTACCAGGGCAAAGAAAGACTGATAACCGCTTCTTTCTGGACGCATAAATCAGGTTTCAGGCGCTTGATGGAAATGGCTTCAGCAAACTTAAGGAGAATTGAGCTCTTTTGCCTATTGATAATTTTGAACGACTTTTCGACGTCCACTTCATTACCTGTGAAAATGCTTGTCACCGCCTCGAGGGTGGAGACGAGGTGAGTTGGAGTACCTGGGCAACGATCCCAGTACTTCTCGCATGCTAAGCGAGAAAGAAGCGGTTATCAGTCTTTCTTTGCCCTGATAACTGGATATTTTCACCTCTCTTTCCTCCGAATGCAAAATGCTAAAAGTTTCCATTGTGTATGATTATTATTTTTCGGAATAGTGTTTAATATTGCATATTTATATATGTATATATTTTTAGTGAATGCGTATATTGATCGATTGATTTTTGTTTAAACTGAACTCTGTTCAAGTATGTTAAAATTGTTTTTGTAGGTGTATTTAATAGTGTCTTTTTCCTGTAATCAGCTGACGAGAAGGCAACAAAATAAAAGATGGTACCATTTTATTCTTCTAAAACTGTAGTTCTTGCTTTGTTCGAATAAAGATGTGTTTATATATGTATAATCAAAGGGGTAAAACTAACGCTGTTCACAGTAACTAATTGCTTTCCAATGAATACGCGTTTAATCTTTTGCTTTTATCTGATTTTACGAATGCATCGATTCATTCCTAACTGATAAAGTTTACGAATAACTTACGCGACTAATATTACCCCCCCCCACACACACCCGACAACCCTGAATCAAAGAAGCAACAACAATAGGATTACCTTAGGGCAAACTGTAATCTACAAAATCGAATTTTTCCTAAATGTGATATCATGATCACAGTTTTTCTGCATGAATAATAATATACTGTCGATTTATTCAGAATGATTATGATAATCCGTAGTATATTCGGCGTTGTAGGCATAAAAATAACAAACTTTGGACTAAATGAGTACCTGAGTATAGTTCTCTACATACATTGACAATGTTATCTGTCTCCTAGGGGTAGATCAAAAATAATTTCAGCCATATTCAAAAATTAGGTTTCTGCGGACTTGATTGTTTCTATATTGGACTTTCTCATGAACAGATACCCATTATAGAACCATTGGGAACTAAACAGTAGCTTCGTTCTAGTCTGGGTCTTCATTAGTACGCATCTACGACCCCATTAGATGTCGAATCCAGGACCTTCATACTGTAAGGTCGACAAGTATTCCATCCAGCCACTAGGTAGGGATAGAATGAATCATGAAAACTAAATTCTGTCCATCTACAGCATCGCAGTGCTGTTAGCCAATTTCATACATGAGTTACTAATCTCATACTCAACTTGGTAGATCTTGATGTTCACGATTACTAATTTAAACTTCAGGAAATCCATCTTGAAGTTAGCCACTTAATATCAGTGGATTATTAATCAGAGGATGAGTTGAAGATAATTCAATTCAAAACTTTGTCTTCTTTTCTCATTCTAAAAATTCTACAATTCTGAGTCTGTTTCATTTGAAGAGATTCTGCTAGAAGTCGGCTACTAAGAGACTAAATGTTAAAAGGCCGGTGAAACGTGCCCTGTATTTAATTTTTTTTTTGCATTGTCAATTAAGAAGCCTAATGCAAAGAAGTCTTCTTCATTTAATACCTAAGATATTTTATAGCTGATTAACTTGGGCATACCTATTTATGTATTACATTTCACCAATGCAGATCTTAAAGGAAAATTAACTTAGGATAGAAAATATTTATTCTTTTATGTGAAGGTTGTCTGTGTTACCTTTTACTTTCGGTATACAATTTGCTACTGTCAAATTTAAATAACAACAAATTGAGCTAAGAAATATATTCCTTTTTAATTAGTCCCTCAATTTGTTGTTTTTTCTAAATGTGTATATGGGAATTTGGAAATTAATGAAATGTAAATAAGGTGATACCTCAGGACTAGTCTGCACTAACTCTTAGTATAAGAATAGGGAATGGAATATGGCTGAATATATTTATCACTTGACTTATTTGAGAGTTTTCGCCAGCCCTGAAGGACTGAATATTGACGAAATTTCAACAGGGACACAAAGGGCCAACTTGAATCATCCCTATCGTAGACGTGATACGAACCTATTAATCAAAGAATGTGTACATTATGCAGCAGTTCGCTCTGTCCTTCTTTACGATCACGAGATATGTCTATTGAATGTGGAAGACTTCGAAAGAGTAGCTGTCTTCGACTAAGAGTGTTTGTGTTTCATCTCCTGTGTTGTGGTACACAGCGAGTAATGTTAAGAGCAGGCGTAATGTCAGGTAGAATAAAAAGCCAGCCGATGAAGTTGTGGTGGTGCTTTGATTGAAATGGCTAGGATATGTGTTACACATGCTGAGTCATCACTTTCTCCTTCGACCAATGTTAGCTGACATAGAATTAAGTTAAGAAAGAATTTATGACAAAATTCTGTGAGTCAGGTTTGCAATGTGACCACCATGCTAGGTGGCGCGCCATCACGATCCACTGCACTATGGAACTGTTGATTGATATAAGATGGTTGGAAGCAACTGACAGGAAGCCCCGCCTGACCTAGATTTCGTGCTAGTTGGCACTCTTCATTCAGCAGGGTATATCTGCAACCTTCAAGCAACTGATGTCCCTTCTGAGACTCGAAACCGCGTCACCCAGACGTTACCACTGAGCTATTTGGACTGTGTGAAAAATTTAGGGGAGGTCAAGTTAAAACCTGGGATTAATCCACCAAGTTTTTGACCGTTAGTGTGAGCTACATACAGATATGTAGATTGCCTGACTAGGGTCTTCAAGACGCTAAGAATCAGTGGCTGGAGATGGATGATAACCTGTCTGAAAACTATTCTAATTGGTAGTGCAGATGCATCCACTCTTTGTAAGCTCTCTATGCGATCATTTTTTCTCCTGTACATTTCCATTTATCCTTGTGCTTTTAAATTCTTTATTTTCCTCTACCTTCATAAGTGCTTTTGTGAAGGATGACAACTTGAACTGCCGCACTTTTCTACAAAGTTCTACGATGAAAATTCAGTTAGTCAGTCAGTGTTCACTTTTTGAAAGAAACTTTGTGTTTGTCGTTATTGATTCTCCTTTTTTGAAAAAATAATCTATTGGCGACGAAAAAGGCATGCACACCGAACTAGAATAAAAAGTT